AAATATTATTTGTGTGTGGAATTTTCTTCAATTATATTTAGCTATTATTTTATAATAAAGTTCTATAATTAAAGTTTAAATTCATAATTAAAATTTTCTTTGAAACTAGGCAAAATGAATTCTGATCTTGATATCCACAACATTCCTATTGTGAGAGATTTTTCTGATATTTTTCGTAATGAATTTCCAAGCATGCCTCTAGAAAGAGAAGTTGAATTTTCTATCGACCTATTACCAGGTATTGCCCCTATCTCTAAAACTCCATACTAGATGGGTTGAGCTGAACTCCAAACTAAGGGGATTAATTAAATGGTGTACTTCACATTGGGGTGCGCCAATTCTATTTATTGAGAAAAAAGATGGCTCAATGTGTATATGTATTGACTACCATGATTTAAATTAGGTAATCATCTAAAATAAATATATGTTACCCAGGATTGATGATTTATTTGATTAACTGCAAGGCGCATCAGTATTCTCTAAGATTGACCTACAATCGGGCTATCATTTATTACGAATTAAAGCTGATGACATTCTCAAAATGGTTTTTCGATAATGTTATGGATATTATGAGTTACTGGTCATACCATTTGGATTAACAAATACCCCTATAGTCTTTATAGATCTCATGAACCGGGTATTTAGGCCAGTTTTAGATAAGTATGTTATGGTCTTCATTGATGACATACTAATTTACTCTCAGAGTCTGGCCGATCAGTATGTACATCTAGCACATGTCCTAGAGACTCTACAGTAGAATAAGTTATATGTTAAATTTAGTAAGTGCGAGTTATGGTTGGACATAGGGACTTTTTTGTGACACATTGTCTCCGGTGAGGGTATTTTTATTGATCCCTCTAAGGTAGAGGCAATCCTTGGTTAAGAACGACTTACCAATGTGTTAAAAATTTGGAGTTTTGTGGATCTTGCTGGTTATTATCAACGTTTTGTGGAGGGTTTCTCTAAAATTTCCACTTCACTTACTCGATTGACTCTGAAAGAATCCAAGTTTATATGGAACTCTGATAATGAAGAGAGCTTCTTAGAGTTGAAGCGTTGATTGACCATAACTCCAGTATTGACCCTTCCTTATGGCTCTGGTGGCTTGATAGTTTATTGTGATGTATCTCAACTTGGCTTAGGTTGTGTATTGATGTAGCACAGTAGAGTAGTTGCTTACGACTCTAGACAGTTAAAAATACATGAGCTCAACTACCCTACTCATGACCTTAAGCTTGCAACTATTGTTTTTGCCTTAAAGATTTGGTGACACTATATTTGCAGTGAAACCTTTGAGACCTTCATTGATTACAAGAGTCTGAAGTATCTCTTCACACAGAAAAAGCTAAATATCAAACAGAGATGTTGGTTGGATCTACTGACTTCGACTACGATTATACTATTTCTTATCACCCTAGAAAGGTTAATGTCGTAACTGACGCCCTCAGTAGAAAGAGTTCTGGTTTCATTGCCCAACTAATAGTGATGCGAAATCCAAAATTAATCAACATGATCAGAAACTCACTCAATTCCATTTAAGATACCAAAGGAATTTGATCCTATAAAAATCCTCCTAACTTAACCATCTATTAAGAATGATAGAAACTAAGATCACTGGAAAATGAAGAATTAAAAGAAGAATGAAAAAATACTATAAGGAATTACCTTGATAAGTATATCTACTCCTTACTCAACAAGAAGGATGATGTAACACCCCACTCATTGTTGTGCTTAATTGATTTGAAAAACCCTATTTATTCAGGTCTTTGGCCGCATTGAACTTATTTAATTTTCTCCACATAATATTTATGGTAATTTGTAAGAAATTTAATTATTTTTAATTATTTTGTTTTATTAAATTTTATTTAATTTTAATTTTATTATTTAATTTTTGCATTTAACTTATTTAAATTGGCTTTAAGACCCGAATAAATGCGGGTTTTCCAAATATAATTTAGCGCGGTGGTGAGGGGGTGTTACAGCCCCAATCTTGATTCTTCTAGATAATATCAGTGGTTTTTAGGTATACTGTGATACATTCCACATTTGCCTTGGTTGTGTGCTCATGCAACATGGTCCGGTAGTAGCTTATGCTTCCAAGCAATTAAAGTCACATGAACAGAACTACCCTACTCACGACCTTGAGTTGGAAGTGTGAAATCTCAAATGCTAATTAATGCATGAGGGTGTCAGATACAGAAATAGATTACAAGTGCATGATAGAAATCATATGCAGAGTAATATAAATCCCTTATAAAATATATAAGTTCCAAATACACATATAACTAAGGTTAGAAGTGGCTACAAAATATAAAATATCAAATACAAAAAGGGTTACTTCTATCATTATGCTAGTGGACTCATTAGAGTGTGGAAAAAATCATGCACTCATGGTTTGCGAATCCACAGGATCATCATAGACTTTAAAGGGTAGGTCAGCGGACGGTTCCTCACTATCTTCCTCATCTGGGGGGCATGAAAAGAGTGAGTTCAATATGGTCAGTAAGAAAAGCAGTATTTAAATATTATCGTAAGATTTAAAAGGTGAATAATAATATCATTAATCTTACCATTAGGTCACGTTAGAGTCCTATCTTACCTTATGAAAATAATTTTATTTATTAAGAAAACATCATGTCATAGTCACAATTATCAAAATCAAACATCACACTCAAAATAAAGAAAATCAAATAAATCATGAAATACATAGATTTTTGTGTCATGTTTCGTAAAGTCGTTCCAACTTCCATCACTAAGGGCAGATACTGATTTTTTACTACCCATGTAGAATGACCAAATCAGATACAGATAACAATAATTTGCTCAAGCACATTTCTGACTTGCCAAACCATGGTACGACTATGACCACGGATGTACCGACTATAGTGGTCCTATAAGATATTCTATAGCCATGATAGTACTTAGTAAAAGGTGGTCCAAACAGATATTCATGTCATCACTCTCATCGAAGGGTACGCCGTCATCCACAGGGAGCGGTCCTCTCATGTCTTTCCACACTAGATGGGAGAGGGAGAAACAGATACCCCTCAAAGATAAAAAGCCTAGTGAGACACTTGATGTGATATGCATGTTAATACAGATACATACATACTTCAGACCATTCAGGCTTCATTCCACTTTTTTTTTCTCTTTTTTTTTTTAATTTTCTAGATAACTTTACTGGTTTATATTATTTTATTTACATGCAAATCATCA